GGCTGACAGGCGCGACACTTGTGGCACGATACAGGCTGCTTTAGCGCCACACAACGCGGTCGTGTGTGCTCAGGATGTTTGTCGTGTTGCCTAATCTCTGCTTCAACATGACAGACGGTGCTTGACCCTTCCTTCCCTCCCCGGTGCTCCAAGGGAAGGGAGGGAGAGTAGTTGGCCTCCTGAAAGCCTTCCCAGCCGTGACCTGTCAGGGATCTCTGCAAGGGCCAGCTGTTGCTGTTCCTACCAGGTGACAAAGGTGACAGAGCCACAGCAGGGGCAGTCCCTCTCACCTACCAAGTCAGGGGCAGGCAGTTATGTGGGCCCGCAGGCCACATAAGTAGTTCTGGGTAGTTACTGCAGGCCGGTCAGCACGCCCTCCCCAACAGTCTGGAGCCTGCATGTCCCACAGCTCCTCCCAGCTGCCACCACTAGCCCCAGCCCCGGCCCCTGCCCACCCTGCACCCACTCTGGACTGGAACAGACCAGCCAGAGCTCGCACAGGCAGCCCCCAACCCAGCCTGCCCTGTGCCTGTTCCCAACTGCCCGCCCACCCAGAGCAGTGGCAGTGGCCAGGCAGAAGCTGCTGCTTGTCTGGGAGAAAAGCGGCCCCTCCCCCTCACCACTGCCTGGCCCTTCTTGCTGCAGCCTCCCAGAGCCCATTCCTTGGGCTGCCTTGCAGCTCCTCTCTGCTGCCATTGGCACTGCCTCCAGGCTGGCTGGCAGGGCAGTAGTGGCAGTGCAGAGGAGCTGCAGGCCAGCCCAGGTGTGGGCTCTAGGCAGCAATAAGGGCCTGGTAGTAGCAAAGGGGAGGGGTTGCTTTTCCCCACGCCAAGCAACAGCTTCTGCCTGGCCGCTGCTCAGCATGGGTGGGAGAGTCTGGGCAGGCACTAGGCAGGCCTGGGTCAGGATTGTGCTCATGGGTTCTGGCTAGTCAGGAGCTGGTCTGCACATTTGGGCCGAGTCCGGAGCAGGTGTGGGGCAGGCCGGGGTGGAACTGCGTGTGCTGGTCCCACTGGGCTGGGACCAGCAGCAGCTGGAAGGAGCTGCCACTGCCTGGGCTGCCTAGAAAGGCAGGCCAGCTGCAGAGCCGCCCCAGCCCCACTGTGCGCCCAAGGGTAGGTAGGATACGGCATGGGCTGAAGGGCACCTGGACCAAGCGGGACTGTGGGACACACTGTGGACTGGACAAAGTCTCTTTGCGGGTTGGATCTGGGCTGCGGGCCACATTTTGCCAACCCCTATAATAAGTCCATGTCATCGTGTAGTTTGCAGACTGTCCTGTTTCCCCTGCCGCCAGGTGGCAAGGATAATAGGGCTGCTACAGGAGCACAGTCTGATTGGGTGGTAAAGACCTGCCCTGTCAGCCCGTACAGCCCCACAGGCCTGTTTGTCATCTGTCAGGGGTATGGGCCCACCACTTAATCTTTTAGCCTCCCTCAGATAGGGAGGTTACAGAAAAAGATTGCAATTAATTACTGGGGACAAATAATGAAAAAACAGGGATAGGAGTGGAGGTCAAAGGTTCAAAACAAGAATGCCAAGGGGGTGGGGGGAAACACTGAGCACAGCACACCAGACAGTGCCCACTGTCCCTCAAATGAATCCAAGGAACCAGTGGACACTGCCCAGTGATACTCTGCTCAGTGATGGGAACAAAGTAGGATGAGGAAAGCAGCCCCCCTGTCCTCCTTCCTGCCCAGGGCCAGGAGGAGGTTGACCAAAAGGTCCTGGGCCTTGGTGGGGCTACAGGCGGGGAGCATGTAAATAACAAGTTGAGGGGAGTGGTGCAGCCAGAACCTCAGCAGGAGGTTCCAGAGGTGTTGCAAGGGCTGCAGCCTGACACTCCAGGTAAGTGTGTGCCAGGGTCTCCCTCTGCTTGCAAAAGGGGTAGATATTGGAGATGTCTGTGAACTGCTCCAGATCTTACAGCCACAGGTGGTTTTCCAGCAGCCCCATCACTTGCTGCCCAGCTGAAAGGGTGATGGGGCTGCAGTGACAGCTAGGGCTGATTGGGTGGTAGAGGCTGCCCAGTTAGCCCTTGCTGCTGTAGGTGACTTGTGGGCAGTCCTCTTAGCTGTTCCCACTGTGGTAACAGCTGATTGGGCCTGTCCCCCTTACTGACTGACTCCCCTGCGGGCAGGGGATGCTGAGGAGCAGCTCCTTATCACTCCCTGCTTGGGGAAAGTACCTTTGTGGTGACTTCATTGTGCTCCTGCCAGGGACTGTTCACATGTGCATACCCGGTAATGATTTTTTTGTAGATCTACGCACTTTGTAGCAGTATAAAATAACATGTATATAATGTAAATAATTGGTATGGGGTACTTGGCTGGCTGCACTGTGGCCAGAGCACAAACCTCTGCTTCTGACCCTGAAAGCAGCATCCTTTGGAGTTGGAGTTCCTGAACTGCAAGCCTAGGCAGAGATGGAGTCATTTATATAATGGTATTAGCTTCTCTCTAATTAAGACCAGATTCAGCTTTTTATTCAGTGATTCATGCATTTTTCTGCATGGAAGAAAGATTGTTTCTTCCCCAAATGGACACTACATAGGTTTTAGGTAACAATGAATTTTTTTTTTTGAATCAAATGTGTTTACTGTGGTTAAAATGATGCCTTTAAGAGATTTCTTCAGTGTCTGGTATGTTTTCCATGTCCCTTTAGCTAGCAAACAGGAGGCTTTTTGTATAACTGAGACTCATCAACATTTATCAAAGGTACATAGAAAAATCAAGTTGTATAAGTAAGTGAAGTTAAGTAGTTTCTCCCAACTGACCCATTTTTTTCAGTTATCTGAAATGCCAGCTGTTTTGATGGAAGTAAAGCTATTTGTGCTACCAGTAAACATGCTTACAATCACAATAATGTGGGGAGGCCCCTAATAAAGATACCATTTTTATGGTTTCCAAAAGGACTAAGGCCACTGACTGTCCTCCAGCAAGTCGCTGCTATATATCATGAGGGAAACAAAAGTGCAGCGCATGTAGTGTTTGTGATCCTTGTTAAGCTGTTTTCAGCCATTGTAGACTTAAGACACCCCTTGTTAGACTCAAGGTATCCCTTGTAAAAGGACAGTGTTTTTTTTGACCACAGAAAAATAGAGTAATTCTCCTTTAGCAAAAAATTCAGAACAACCACAACAGGTCAGACTTATTTTAACACTATGGATTCCTATATGAAACTTCTAGGCTTATGTTGTGAATCTCATTTGCGCACCCAACAGTGTTAAGACTGCATGGCTTCCTGGTACCCATGAAAGGATCTCAAAACACTCCAAGGTGCCATGGCACCTAGTTTGAGCATCACTGTC